CTGTCAATGGCCAAGATTCTGTCAGGATTGCTGATGAGCATAAGGAAGATCAGGGATTGCAAAGTTACTTCAACGTGCTTCAGAGTCCTTGGATGAAATTCGGTGAGCTTTATGAGTAACTCATGAATGAAAGTTGACTGTAATTCCTTGTGTAGTGCGCATTGTATGCTCGCGACGACAAAGCCCAGCACTACCTAAAGGACGCGCAAGATGACGAAGCTGCATCATAGGTAAAGCAAGCTACGTCAAAATCAAAGAGCTGCGATTGGCTGTTCAGCCGCTATAGGAGCTTATAGGAGTAGTAGAAATCCAATTTTGATCGGCTATCATCGAAACGACCGGGCCGTACAAAGCCGCAACGCTTGCTTTTCAAACTCATCGACTGCTACGGCCTACAACCCAAGTGTTACAGACGCCAGGGGCGTTTTCCGAGGAAAATACTTTGAACTTAAGGCTGCAGCGAGGCGAACGCTGGAGCGTGGCCAACTGGGTAGCGGAACTCATTCTAGTGGAGAATCGACCTCATCATCTAAATCCGGTAGCTCGTCCAAGTCCAGCAGCTCATTGCCATCCTCAGGTTCAATTTCAAGCTCCAAACGAATGTATACAGAATGCGCACGTTTTCAGCGACGAATTCAGTGCTTCTTATACACTAAAATCTCGCTTGATTTATAGAGGACAATTTGTTCAGTGTCCGGACTCAGTACATCCAGCAAATGCTCTATAGCAGGAATATCCAGTTCAACTTCTGACCGTCATTTTACTTCCGCTGATATGCTCGTCCAGTTGCCGGCGCTATACTCGTGGCTGTCTCCTGTAAAACGTTTTGGGCCGCTACCTTCCTTGATTTCGTGAACGAAAACATGGTAGCCCGAGTGCCAATGAAATTTCAACGAAGAAAAGTGATTATCAACCATTAGAGGGGCACATCCATCCAGAAGGCATGATATGCACTACATACAGGGGGTGGAATGACAAGACAAATTACAATCACTGCGACGCCGATGGTTAAGCCGAGCAAAGAATATCTTCATGTTTCATGATGATTAGTGGAGGCTTAGGCTGTTATTTTATGCACGTAACTTGTTTCCTTTGCATGTATGTACTTCTATTCTTTGACTGCAATAAGTCCCTGCGTTGTACTGTTGGTCCTAGTCGGCTTGCCTGCCTGTCGGCCCCTGGAACATTTTACAGTCTCTTTCGTTCGGGCTGTTCAAACGAGGTGCTGCAAATTCATCAAGTAACATATCCATCAAGGAGCCCCTTGACCATGCAAAAGACTGGCAAAGGGGGAGAATGACTTCATGGAAGCTGTGCATATCTGTACTAATAGAATTTTTGACATGAGCTTAACTCCTCGAAAGCCGTGAACTAATGTGGTAGTATGTAGCCCTGGTGGATGATCTGCGCGCGCTATAGGTGACTACTCCTTGAGTGGTATCTGACCGCGAGCCACAAAACTCAAGTGTTCACTGCTCAACGGTATCCGGCTTGTATCGTTCCCCGGATGGAGACATCCCCAAACCCGTACCGCGAAACTTTGCCTGATACATTTCGGGAGGATCGCTTTCTGCAGAGAGTACATAGGACAAGGGTTAGGTTAGGTGAGATTTATTGCCGGTTTAGGACCAAGTGCTGCTACGCCGAACAGCACAAGACGGCGCAGTGCCGGGTATTCTAGGGTATTGGAGGCAGTGAGTCATAAGCGACCTGCCTGTGTCCCAACTGATCTGGTTTGATATCTTGAGATATTGTTGCTACGCTCTCGTAGCGAAACAGGGGAAAGATTAGGAGGCAGAATTCAATGAATTGGGGAAGGTTCATTTCAGAGTATAAAGTGAGGCGTTTCTTTCTACAAAGGCTATAACCAGTTCCTCGATCCTCAATGATTCCCTCTTCTTCACGCATCTTCACCAGCATTCTCTACGCTGCTTCTCTCGTCGTCGCCGATAACCCTATAAGTCCAGGGTTTGCTTATGGCACAGAGAAAGTTCGGGGGGTGAATCTTGGAGGTTGGCTTGTCCTTGAGGTATGCGTCACTTTTACTTTCAGTTCTCTCTGTTCCTCACGAAATTTCTCCGAAAAGCCGTGGATAACACCATCAATCTTCGATAACACTAGTGCGTTTAAAATAAACTCAATGCATGCGTCTGCCTTACATTCTTTGGTACCCGCAAGGCAATATTGACATCGTGGACGAGTTTACCTTTGGACAATTACAAAACCATAGCACGGCATTACCCGTTCTTCAAAATCATTGGGACACTTGGATAACTGAATCTGACTTTCAAGCTATAGCCGCTGCTGGGTACGTCTCATTATCATATGTTATCTCGTTAGTTTCTTAAACAGAAAAACTTCCAGTCTCAACCACGTTCGTTTACCAATCGGATTTTGGGCATTCGATGTATCCGGTGGCGAACCCTATATTCAAGGTCAACTACCATACCTTCAGAATGCTATCACATGGGCAGAGAACACTGGTTTGAAGCTTGTATGTTCGCGTTTTCACTTATACTTCGCCTCTTCATTGTTTTTTTGCTTCAATTCTTTAGATCATCGACTTGCATGGCGCTCCTGGAAGTCAAAACGGGTGCGCTTCACCAATCATCATATTGATTACCTCTGATTTTGTTACCAGATATGACAACTCAGGGCAACGTCTTCCATTCCCGTAAGAGTTACATACTTTTTTGTTTGGCTTCGCCTCAATATTTCGTTAGCACCTGGCAGCAAAACCAGACAGACATCCAGCGAACTGATGCGATCATCAAGAGTACGCGACGACTCTTGGCTCGATCTTTCGTTGTCTCATCGTCCTCTTTATTTACAGCCATCGCGAACATGGTGAAGGACAAAACAAACGTCGTGCCCATCATTGCTCCCTTGAATGAGTACGTGTTTCCGTGTCTGAGATCTGATTTTTCGTTAATGCGGAGTAGACCTGCGGGATATGATGGTCAACAGATGCTCGACGTAGTCAAACAGGTCAGAAATATCATCCTAGATTTCAATGTGGCGACTAAACATGTTTAATTTCTCAGTATTGGTATGACAGTTATGGCAATATTCGGTTTGTCTCTCTTCTACTCGCTCCGATGATAAGTATATTAAGATATATTCCATTTCCAGATACCCTTACAATAGTTCCCAAGAAAGTAACACGGTATGTTTCAACATTTGAATTACTGGGTGGCCTCTCAACTTCCCTAGGTCGTGATGCTACATGACGCGTTCCAACCTTTGAGTTACTGGAATAACTTCCAAACTGCTCCCGGTTGGCAGGGTGTGGCTATGGACACTCATATCTATCAAATGTTCTCGCAGGAGGCAAGTACCTGCCTTCTCGATTGACTCAAGCTGGGATTAATGATAATGATAATTGATGCAGCTCGTAGCACAAACTAACGCTCAGCATATTCAGACTGCTTGTGCCTACCAGACCTCGCTGGCGTTTGACTTGTGGCTCATTGTCGGCGAATGGACACCCGCTCAAACAGATTGCGCCAAGTATCTGAATGGAAGAGGCAACGGAGCACGATACGATGTAAGATGAACCTACACAATTCCCGATCTCAGTTCCTAATCTTTGGTCTGATTAGGGAACTTTGGCCAACTCAACTTTCGTCGGTAGTTGCACCGGTCTTACGGGATCAGCTTCAACCTTTAGCTCGAATTTTAAGACTTTTCTGAGACAATATTGGGAAGCTCAGGTTATCGCCTTTGAGAAGGGTGGAAGCGGATGGATCCAGTGGACATGGAAAGCAGAGAATGCTGATGAATGGACCTACTCGGCTGGGTTGGCAAATGGATGGATTCCCCAGGACCCAACAGACTTGAAGTATCCAAATATTTGCGACTAGATTTGCCAGCCGATCCTATTTATCACTCTGCATCTAACATAGTATCATTATACCCCCTTAATACCCCCTCAACATCCTGTCACTACTCGGGCTTTTTAGCATTTAAATTATTGGAAAATATGTATGTGATTCTACCACTGACTATTTACGCTTCAAATAAATAGTTTACTGCATCCACCTTAAGCATAGCTCAACTTTAATAACCGCTTTCCTGGAAGCGCGTGAGGCCACAAGCACTGTCCCTCCTCTGCCCAACGCGACTGTAAGTAGGCAGGGGCTTTGCACCTTCCCTCATGTTTCTTGCACCTCAAGCGTACACAAACTTAACAGTTAGCGTTCCTAAGGGGATTGGAACAATATCGGCGATGATATTGTAGCAGCGCTGCAATCATCAGAAGGAGTCACATATTCTAGTACACAAGGCGGGCAAGACGGGGCGATGAGCGCTCAAGGCTGTTCGATGTTCCAGGCTGTCCCGGGGTGCAGAAAATTCACTGCTTCAGCACTTCGCGTCCAATGGCCGTGTATTTGTTTGAAGTATTCCTGTTCCAGTTTTTCCAGTTCTCTCTTATATTCCGGCAGCCCCGACACGCTTGTTCACCAAATGATGACTGGGGGAGCTGACTGCAAGCCGTAAAAAGGGCAAGTAAAAAAGGGCAAGTACAGCTACAGTAGTATCTGTTTCGAAAATTTTGATCTTGAGCACGCCGGTCCTAGACTTCGAAAGAGGAACTGTCACTCTAAAAGTCCATTACTACGAAGCCAGATAACTGAAAACGAGACTTGATCTGCAAACGATTATCAGAGCTATAGTACATACTTATAATGATCGAAGGGAGCCAATACAAATATTTACTCGCAAACCTACTATCCACGTATATGCGTACCGTGCCCAGCCAGCCTAAAATACTCCATACTCATATTCATGCTCTCCGAGTCCATACTCCCATAAGTATTCACCCTCCTACTCCACAAAGTTCACATCCAAGTCCCTCCTAAAGCGAATCAGCTATACTTATACGGGGTTTCCTGTACCTGTAGGATCCTTATGTCCAAGTGACGGCCACCTTCCTCCAAGAAAGGTATTAGTCTGTACTCCAAATCAAATAAGGGTCCCCAAATACGAAGTTCCTGTAATCCGATATGGTATAGTGGCTAACATTATCGCCTCTCATAAATCCGAGGATACGATTGCACGATAGCCCGGGGTTCGATTCCCCGTGTCGGAATCAACGTTTCTTCTATGCTTTAGGGAGGTTTTTTTTTTCTTTAATTAGTATTTACGCTGTACACTTTTTGGTCTCGCCACGGCGCATCGGAGTGTCGGAGGCTTTTTCGATACAAATTTGAAATAACTAATGCAATAATCAGCTTTGACCTGTGAGATTAGTAAGTTACCGAGTCGCCATCCAAGTCCCTCCTAAAGCGAATCAACTACTTATGCGAGGTTTCCCATACCTGTAGGATCCTTATGTCCAAGTGATGTAGACACGCACGATCCGGCGGTGTATCTGCTATGCAAAAAGGTGGATTTAAGAATTGTTACCAATTCTTAACCCGGATCGTATATAAGGAGAACTACAGGAGAAGCCGTAGTCTCGTAAACAAGCATGTTTACAAGTGACGGCTGATGCCTTCCTGGCAAGGAAGGTTTTATTCTGTACTCCAAATCAAATAAGAATCTTCAAATACGAAGGTACTATAATCCGATATGGTGTAGTGGCTAACATTATCGCCTCTCATGTTGCCTCAGAAGCAGATGATAAGTATTGCGCGATAGCCCGGGGTTCAATTCCCCGTATTGGAATCTAAACTCCTTGATCCATTCCTTGTAAGCATTTGGGGAGCTTCTTTTTCTTTAATTACTACACTTTTTGGCCTCGCTACGGCTCATATCGAAGTCGGAGGTTTTTTCGGCCCAAATTTCAAAGAACTTGAAGTATGTGATTCGAATGCCTACTATCTGTATATGTGTACTGTGCCCAGCCCACCCAAAGTACCCCGTACTCATACTTCTATTCAAGTGTCCCTCCCAAGGCGAATCAGCTACACTTACATGGGGTTTCCTGTACCTGTAGGATCCTTATATCCAAGTGACGCCCGATGCCTTCCTGCCAAGAAAGGTTTTAGTCTTAAGAACTCTCAAATAACCAAGTTAGTATAATCCGATATGGTGTAGTGGCTAACATTATCGCCTCTCATCAACCTGATTGGTAGTTTTGCGCGATAGCCCGGGGTTCGATTCCCCGTGTCGGAATCGATGTTCCCTCCGTCTTCTGTAAGCAATTGAGGAGCTTTTTTTTCTTTAATTACTATGTACGCTGTACACTTTTTGGCCTCGCCACGGCACATCGGAGTCGGCGTCGGAGGCTTTTTCGATACAAATTTCAAATTTCAAATGACTAATGCGATAATCAGCTTTGACCTGTGGGATTAGTAAGTTACCGAGAGTTACCGAGTCGCGATCGGTTAGTCGGGTTAGTCGGTTATAGTCATCTCACATTTAACATGCGTTGAGCCATACAAGTTCGACTGTCAGTTCTCATTGACAATCCCTGGATTCCGATGCATGGCGAGTTGGAAAATCTCTGCGAAGCTTGGCGTAACAGCCTTCGTTAGTCTGCGAATATTGCCCTCTAGTCGTTTAATTCGCAAGCCAGCTGAGCTGTAGCACTGCCATTCTACTGAGTGTCAGTCATGGGTTCATGGGTTCATCTGAGTTCATTGAGTCATCGTTAAATGAAATGATAATCATCCTGATTAGGAACCTAGAAAGCAGATTCCAGAATCAGACCAATCTAATCAATAGTACTGTGGCGTAGGTGGGATCCGAGTGCGTTTATCGATATCGATGAGATATCTAAACAACGCCGGTGATAGCAACTTGGTGATAGTACGGATGTAATAAAAAAACAAGGGTGTTCATAGCGTATTCGCAGCTAGCTCGTCTGACTTTGAGGCTTGCCAACACGTTGGTGCGGTGAGGATTCAGCCATGAGTCGTCCAAGCGTCGTCGCATGAATCTAACCGCCATGACCAAGCTATAATGGTGCTACAAGATTGCGCGATATCATTCGGAAACATGCGGTGGTAGTCTGGCGAGTGGCCACTAAACTGTTCACCTGACGTTCAGAGACTACAGCAAAGCCCAGAAAAGCCGCTGGTTTATAAGCAGGAGTTGATGTATCTACGGTTGCAGGCTAATTATAATCATAAGGCATAGCGTTATCACCGGGGTGAAGTTTGAGCTATTACACGCCCTAGGTTTGTGACGGGGCCTGGGAGGCTGTAATGGTGACGCCGAGTAGTACTGAGCGCCTCGTCCGAGGAACAAGGACCCCCGGTGATGGATAATTAACAAAAGCTGGGGATCAGTTCATTCAGTTCATTGGGGGACCCACAGCGACTGTTGAAAGGATAAAGAACAAGGAAGGTTGTTAGGATTCGATATCCATCTGTGAACCTGAAGTAAATATAACGTATGAGGGTCCTGATGTCCAGAATTCTGGCTGGAAAGTCAACTCGCAAGGATGTGGCGCACTGGAGTGGCGCATGGAGTTAAACCGGGCCGAAGTTACCCGGCATACACGTGCTATCGTGCTTTTTCTTCTTCTTTTCATGCAACCATTTCGGGAGGACTACGCTGTTCTAGTCCCGTTTTAAGACCTACTTATTGTGTTCTTGGTTTAAAACCTGGTCTCTGCGCCACCTCTCTTCAATTTTCTCTTCATTTTCATCTACATCTCCTCGATGACAGAATACGACTATTCTCCGGAAGCAGCGGAGAGGTACCAGGCGAAACTGCATAGCATTGGGAGATGGGTACACGAAACTGAGCGATACGAGCCTGTGAATCCATTTGTGCTTTCGCCTGCGGCAGCCTCTGCGAGATTGCCAATGCCAGGAGGCTCAGACGGCTCTTCATCTCGGCACCGTCCCCACAGGTCCTATACTGCCCTGCAAGAGGTTCACAGAACTCGTCGGCTCAATATTCATCACATACTTATTACCAACCTCCAACCCAACAGAACTATCAATATCCTAGATATCCAAATACCTCGTATCCATATCCAGTTTCTCCTCAGGCTCCTGGTCCATATCCGCCGCCACAGCGGTCTCATACTTTTCCTATTCCTCCTCCGCCACCGCCGCCTTTACCTCGTCCTAAACGGTCTAACACTTCTGGAGGATACGGCTCTCCAGATATGATATACGACCCGCGTGTAGGAACTGCTTCACGCCACGTTGTGAGTGCATTCTTTCGTTCTTCTCGTTAATGTGGCGTTTACATCTCCCCAGTTTACAACATACCAGACTCAGCCGCAGTCACCTTCAAAGCGCTGGTTTGGTAAACTCTTCAGCGGGCTGCGCAGCTCCAGTCCATCCCGTGCCCAAAGTCCGTCCAGTGTCACGGAAACACAAAGCCGACATAGCCGAAGCAAGAGTGGCATCACAGGCGCGACCGCGACTACGACCGACATGACTACGATCGACACGACCACTACGACCGCGAATCTAGCAGACACGATAGCGAACGGCGCTCAAAGTCCCATTCGCGTGCAAAGCCTTCGAAGCATCGTAAATCTCGCAGCAGCAGCCTATAGATCCCCCCTTCCCCGCAACTTCCCCGCAAAAATTTTGCTTCCGTTAGGTTGATCGGAAGTACCGGATTTTAATTTATTTAATATCCGTTCTTTTTTCCTTTCCTCGCTGTGTTAATCCAACTGTAGCTTTACGTTTTTTCTCTCTTGTACTATCGCACATTAATACTCCCACCTACAGCGTTTTGGGGATCGGATACGGCACACATTTCTTTTTCTTTTTAGAGAAATCCTTATTTGCATTTTCCCTCTTCCACCGCATACCAATTATCTTTATCGCTCCCTCTCCGGACTACCCCTATCGCATTTTATATCTTTTTCATGAGCCTCTCGACGTATAACTAACTACCTACGATATTCGTTTTACATACCAGCCACGTCCATCACGCCTACCACGTACATACAACTTTTTTAATGATATTCATGTTTGAAACGTTTGTGCTTCCTGCTTACTTGCGGAGCAAGAACGATGAACGACGCTCGCCAGGTGGGAACCACAAAAAAAACAAAATACCAACGTCTATAGCTGCCCCAGAGAGGCTCGAACTCTCGACCTTCCGATGTAAGAAGCTTCAAACAAATGGAATAACAGTCGGACGCTGTAACCAACTCAGCCATGGGGCATTATAAGTGGGTGGCTAACGGTGTTTTTGTCGCTTCCAGGATCTTAGATACATCTACTTCAAAGGCTATTCATTTTACTTCAACTAACAACCTATCCTAAAGCTCAACTGATATCCTTCCCTCCCGATCCACAACACCAAAAACTCAGCGTACTCAACTGCGCTCGACGTTAACCATTCTTTCCCACATCAGCCGGTATGTCATGCCAAGTCTGGTCGAGTCTCGACTTGATCACCAGCAACGCATGCACTGCAAGTTCAAAGCCAGATCACCCTCTTTGAGAGTGACGAGTCTCCAGGAGATGCTTTTATGTTGCTTGTTGCTTGTAGAAGGATAAATGAATAAGCGAGTCACTTGTGTGTTCCATGGAAACAAACAAAAAAGTGGACAGGACCCGCTGGCGATATAGTGAAGCAACTCCCCAGAGAGGCTTGAACTCTCGACCTTCCGCTGTTAACACTTTAAAGCTCTATTACGCATAACAACCGGACGCTGTCACCAACTCAGCCATGGGGAGTTGTTAATGGGTGGACAACGCTCTCTTTGTCACTTCTAGGATACATCTCCTTCAGCGCTTTCGAGCAACTTGGATCCATAATAGCCTGATACCTCCCTCCAGATCCACCATACTAAAACTCAATGAAGGCAACCCCTTCTCCCCCCCATCGTTGAAGCGCTGATGGCAGTCCACTGCGATGCCACGCTCAACTTGGCCAGTGACCCCAGCAACAAGTGTGAAGTGGGTCAAGTGGTCCCACCTCGCAAAGTGTGCCCCGTCAAGACCGGAACACCCACTTCGAGAGCCATGATGTGTTTGAGAGGATGCGGACCGTTAGGGAAAGGAAAGAATTATATATCTATATATATGCTTACATGACATACCAGGCTACCAGCAGCGTCTACACCTACCAATTCTTAAACAATGCTATAAGTAATCTATTCGTTACTTGCTCAGTGTGTGATCCGCACAAGATCCACAAAAAAAACAAAACCAAAAATAAAAGATTAAACCAAGCCAACAGAAGATCTTCGAAGCCGCCCCAGAGAGGTTCGAGCTCTCGACCTTCCCCTGTCAATGCTTTATTGCGCATAACAGTCGGACGCTGTAACGAACTCAGCCATGGGGCTATGCTTATATTAGTGGATAACGTTCTTTTTGTCAGTTCCGGAACCTTACATCTCCTTTAACCTGAGGCTCAAAATATTGAACTATAATCCCCGTACACCCCACCCAATTCACAACACCGAAGACTTAACGTACTCAGCCGCGCCGAACCATTCTTCCCCACATCAGCCGACAACTCACACCAAGAGATCTCACACTCGACTTGAAAGGCTGATCCCCAGCAACGCGCGCCGCCGTGCACGTCAAAACTAGGTCACTCATGATGGAAGGGATGTTCAATGAGTCTACCGAAGCGAAGCTGAGGACCGTTGAAGGCGTTGTTGATCTGCAAGGGCCAGAATTGATATAGTCAATTTATTTAAAGCTCTAGTGATGTTCATGCCGGGGCATATGCGCTCTTCACTTATGCATGTTGGTTGCAGAAGGACAAACTAATGAACTTGCTCGTGCTAATAAAGAAAAAATGAACATGTTGCATCAAATCATCACACCACTGCCCCATAGAGGCTCGAACTCTCAACCTTCCGCTGTGCTAGGAGCATATAACGGCATAACAGTCGGACGCTGTAACCAACTCAGCCGATGGGGCATTGTTCAGAGGGCTGGGCAACCCTCTTGTTCACACTTCCAGGATTTCAAACAGATATAGTTAAACGGCAACCTAACCTAAGGCATAGACTGGTATCCAACGTCCACCCTCCCAATCCACCAAAACACAACTAAGAGTCCCTTCTCCCCCTCAGCCAACTCACATTCGACTTGACCCCCAGCAGCACACTCCCGACGGGGTGCCCAACACCAGATCACCCTCTTTATGAGCCATGATGCATGATGCATGATGTGTTCAATAACTCGGAGTGGATCTGGAGGCTGAAAGCATCGCTAGGGGAACTGGAAGAATCAGATCAGATATATGTTTGGAAATAATGATACTTTTGTTGCGTTCAACCTGCGTTAAACTGCTTGCGAAGAAATGACAGTCACTAGTGTAACGCACGAAAACAAAAAATAGAACAACACGTCAACGGCCACTGCCCCAGAGACGCTTGAAGTCTCGGCCTTCCGATAACACGAAATTTGTGATAGCAGTCGGACGCTGTAACCAACTCAGTCACAGTGGGGCATTGGCCACCAGTGGATAACGCCCTTCTTGGCACTTCCAGGATCTACGTTTGCTTCAAGGCAACCTTGGGTCCATAATACCTAATCTAAGGCTTGAGCTGATACCCGATCCACCACACCAAAACTCACCCCAGCCAACGCTTTATCGCTCTCACTGGACTACCCTATCACATTATGCCTTTCGTGAGCCTCTCCACGTATACTTGACTGCGATTTGCGTACCAGCCATGTCCGTCCGTCACACCTATCACGCACATACAACTCCTTGAATGATATTCATATTTGAAACGTCTGTGCATCCTGCTTGCTACGAAAATAAAACACAAAAGAACCTTGAAGTGAGTTCGTAGCTGCCCCAGAGAGGCTCGAACTCTCGACCTTCCGATAGATACGCTTCAGAATATCCAAGATATATAACAGTCGGACGCTGTAACCAACTCAGCCATGGGGCAATGGACAACGTGATCGAAAAGCTTTCAACCAAATACAGCTAAACAGCCTAACCTAAGGCTTGAAACTGATACCCTCCCTCTCGATCTACCACACCAAAACTCAACTGAGACAACCCCTTCTCCCCCCCACGGCCGACAACCCACACTCGACTTGATCCCCAGCAACAAGCGGTCCCACTCCCGACGGCGTGCCCGTCAAAACCAGATCACCCTCTTCGAGAGCCATGATGGAGGAGATGTGTTCGATGAGTCGAGGGATGCGGAAGATCATGTCGGATGTGGTGCCGTTTTGTTTAAAAGCACCGTTGACCTGGTGGAGGATGGATGTGTGGGAATGGTTATGGTGCAGTAAAAAAAATGGTGGTTATAGTTATGAGTATGTAAGAGAATCGGGGTTCACCACTTACTTTGAGCCAAAGCTTCAAATCATGAGGGTCGTCGATGAGCGACTTTGGGATGAAAGGTCTGTTGAATCACCAAAAGCAAACAAGGTAAGCTTTCCGTCATTGTACCACTAAGCAAATCAGTCCTCTATCAACATAAATCTTATTTCGCAGAAAGCTGCGAAATGAGGCGGGCATGGGGGCCATGGCCTGCGGTCTGGAGCGACAACTTCGGATGGAAACCATAGATCGGACCACAAACCCGCAGAAAATGGCAGATGGCCCGTATCTCCCATCTCCCGACATATCCAGCAGTCCGAGGCGACAACCTCGGATTAGTTTTAAACTCTAAATTCCAAGAATCGGAATTGTGAATCCCAAGAAAGTCGCAAACGGCACCAGTCCATCTGGAATCTGCAAAGAACATGCATAGTGCCAGCAGTCCGTAGCGAGCAGCTCGGCCGAAAAACGGCACCAGCACATCTGGAATCTGTAAAGAACATGCATAGTGCCAGCAGTTCGTAACGAGCAGCTCGGATAGAACAAAAAAAAAAGAGAAGGGACCGAATACGAAATAAAGTGTGGTGGAGTCGAGAATACGTACCCTATTGGTGTGAACGTATCAAATCCCTTGGCCGCACTCCATGGTAAGCCTTTACTTTTTACTTGGTCTTGGAGGTTCCGTGCGGTCAAGTCCACCGCAAGAGCTGTGAGGGATGGAAGTAAGTACAACCAAGCGAAGTATCCAAGAAGTATGTCATAAAGGCCAACGCGGCGAACGACACACAGTCGCCAGATGTTCTAGCATTAATACGAATTTAGCGGATAGAAGCGACTTACCATAACCCGCTATGTGTTCAGCCACATGAGCTTGGGATATGTCTCGCCCGCCTTTGCCGATGACTAGTCCAAGTTCGACTGTGTTGTACAGTAACGTTAGTTAATTAGTTGCGTGAGCGTTAGAAGCGAAAAAGGAAGGAAAGGAAAACAGAAGGAATAAAAAAAATGTGGCGCGTAAGGCTTGAGCGTAAGAACCTGGGGCACAAAGGCAAAAAAAAAAGAAACCCCTTAGACAAGGTTGAGGCGGGGTCAGGGTGTGAGAGTCGAGACGCGGCGTTTCTATGACTAGTAGTATATGCAAAAACAAAGCTGGCTGTACCTGCCGAGCATTGTACAACAATAAAAGATCACAACAGTTTATGTCTATCATAGCAACGCAGAGAACAGTACTTGCCTTCGTGATGACAGATTATTCCTCTAGGAAGCTCGACTCTGCCTCCGGAGGGTAGGTAACTTGTCGTAGGCTAGATATCAACAGCACAATCAGTCGATATGAATGCCCAGTTGAGGATGAACCAAAGAAAAGTAAAGACTATGTACTGATCATGAATCAGCGCATGCAGTGAGTGCCAACTGATCTCCAAAACGCCGAACAAGCCAAGACAACTTGGTGCGAAAAATTTGAGCCGGACGCGCCACTAGCCTGAAGTGGATCTACATAATCGACTGAATATTCCGCGCAAGCTTGTAGGGCCAAGTTCACAGAAACAGGTGGGCCAAGGCGAATGCCGATTGCAAATGAACATGCTGTCGGCTAGGAGCTTCGATAGATAGGCAAAGTTCATGCCAAGCGGGGCCTAAAAAAAGCCTGAGGCCACAAAAATAGCCGGGAGCAAACGCGATAGGCTGGCACGACAGATGGAAGCAATGGAAAGAACCGGATGGAAAGCATACCTTGAGAAAGAAGAAGGGCTCTTTGGGTGCAGTATTGGACAATTCTTTGATATGCTCGGCATAATTTCTGCCAATGGCGACGATCTAAAAGCCAAGAGCGTGTGATATGTTAGTTTTGATTTGGTGATTGTTGAGCTTAGATAGGAACACGGATGAGAAGTGAACGTTTGAACGTTTGAACAGTCGTATTTTTGGAAGAAACGACGGAACCTTCAGACCATGAACTGAGTATACAGCAGTGCTGCTGTTCGTCAAGGCTTTTGTGAGGCATCAATGCATCGCATCAATGACAAAAGCTGACCCAAATTAAAGCTTAAATGACGTGTCCTACTACCAAGCAAAAAACAACGGATGGAACATACTGCATACCTTCTTGCCATGTCTAACGAATGATGAAATGTTTTGTGACATCCCTGCAGCTTCCAAGCGGTTTCCAAGCTTGTTGTAGTAGAAGGAAGAAGAGCGGATAAATCGGGAGCCGAGAAGGCGCTTAGTTTTGCCGAGCGCTTACTTGACCTTTGCGACCAATTTGCGATAATGCGTTCTTGTCGATTATTCAAGCCAAGTTTACTATATAAGTATCCGTGAAATCGCAACATAACAAGGGACTTGGAGCAATCTTGGTATTATCAATGCGCCTTGGCCCCCACTCCGCTTGAGACTCTGTAGCTAGTGCCGGGCACAGACATGGCACATTCTCCTAGCCCCTCTTCACTAGTTATGAAGGAATTACCTTAAAATGACAGAGACCCCCGATTATGAAGAGAAGAGCTTATAGATGTCATTCTTTAGTGCTGCACTCATCCGAGGAGGGATTATCAAAGGATTACATATTTTTTATGTTGTACTTGGCGCTTCCAAGATTCTCTTGGCTCTGAGGTACTACATATTTTGAAACGACTGCGGCATCTTATTCTCATCCTCCCCGCTCCCAACAATGGCCAGTCTCAATAACAGCACATTACGAACAGATAATGCCACTTCACCAGCGGCCAGCAGCAGTGAACTACCGTCAGACTCGCAAGTACAAGTCCTTTCACGGCATTGACCTCTTTCTTATCCTCTCTGTAGTTCGTCTGGTCAATTCACACTTTCATGGGAGATTGGAGTAATAGTTGCCATAAGTAGGGCTCTCTCGCCATATTGCGACCGAGAGTCGTGCTGATTTTTTCTGCAGTTGTCATTGTCCTGGCTATCATTGCTGCTGCAATATTTCAACGCCGTCGCAGACAACGCGTAATAATAATCGACGACACTGAGAATCAGCAGCGACCCCATTATCGTGATCATCGTTCATCGCGCCGTCATTCATCCTCATCATCTACAACGCAGAAGGGAGCTAGGGGTTCTAACGAACTTTCGGGGTTGTCTTTGTCGGGATCAGAGAGTCCAATAACGAAGGTGCATTGCATTCTGTATGGTAGCTGCCACTTCTAATTTTCACCACTCCTCTAGCCTCCACTCTCTGTGTCGCCTTCGCACTCCAAAAGGTCCTCACGAGCAGATCCACCGCCTGAACACCCGTCACAAAAGCCCCCGAAATACTACTGGAACAACATCAATGTCTGAATTTTTGATGACTCGAACGCTGTATCATTACCATTTTTCGTACGTTCGCAGCGTCTTATTGTTAGTGATCTTGTGCTGACTTCCTTACCAGCCTCTCATCGACCATTACATAGCATATCAAACTTGTATCCTACTCTATCATACCATCCCTATTTGGTTTTACTCCACCTTTTACTTGATATCCTCGCTCATAGTAACCTGCATTATCGAATCAGCCTTGGGAAACATGGTTCTAATTCGAGTGCTCCATGCTATTCAATCAGTTTCCGTTTCTGGGTGCAGCTTCGAAAATTCTTACTCATGCTGGTACATATTCATAGAAACACATTCACTCATCCGGCCATGTGCTCATTATGCATCTCGTCTGGTAATATCACCACTAAAAAGTTATCCTCCTGCGATTAGGTCGCAGAGTTCTTTGTGACCCTCAACCAGGATCGTCATTCTCGGCGTAAGGAGAAACTCCTAAGCAAGTCAGCAATCGCCTCTGAATAGCAACGATTTCAATCTATTCCGCAGGTACCTGTACAAGGACGCCAATAGGATAGGTAGGCCAAGGCTCTGAGCTTCTCCATACTGTCCCAAGCTCTGCCTTCTCAGCTCTGGCCGCGGCTACTTGAGCCTTGGCCGCGGCTCTTGAGACCGGCCCAAAATTTACATCTCTACATAGACCACGGGAACAAATAACGAAGGAAGAACCTCCGCAAAATCTGCTTTGACCGGAAATATCTGCTTTGACCGGAAATATCTCCGACTTCCACCTACTCTAGGGCTGCGATTGCTGTATGTTCATCGAACTTGCGAAGGTTTATTAAACCTGTACCGTTGCTCCAAGTCTTAAGCTCAGCCCAGCGGAGGTGTACAAAGACTTGTGCGTTCAGGTTTACTTATACTGGCCTATAAATGTTTTATTTCGAGTTTCTTCAGCTTTCTGTCGCCTGTCACCCCGTAATAGTATTCGAAGCTGCGCGACATATGAAGGACGGAAACGAAGAACAAAGGCAGAACTTTGGTGTGCTGATAATTTCTTCATCATAAATGCTATCAAATCGGGTGTCTCCTTTCACGGGACCCCTCCAAAAATCATGCCAGCATTCTGGTTTGGTGATGATCCAGTTGAGATTGTCAAGTGGTACCTCTATGTGGGCACCTACTTCAAAACTGGAGATTACAGATCCTTCTCTTCTCTCTTCCAAATGCACTACACTGAAAAGGCAAAAAAGGCCCGAAAAACTGCCCATGCTGTACTTCACATTGAGTCCATGATTGGCGCTCTCCCTGTGCATGAAGCAACCACCCTCTACATGGGATGTG